GCGACAACTGTGTCAAAGTTACCTGCCACATGAACTCGTCTTTTGAAAGGGAACTGCAACATGCTCTCCAACGAGAAGCGGAAAGAGGTGACGGTTTAATCTCGTCTTTGAAGCACGCCGAAGCCGAAGGCAGCAATTACTACGCAAGTCTTGTGACTATCACGCAGATGCCCACATTTCGCACTAAGCATCGTGTGGTGACACAATGCTTAAGAAGTCAGCCTCGAACGCGAACTCCGAAAGTGCTGAGAAGGGAAGGGGGGGGGGTAATCCTTTTCTGTATCACGAATTTCCATAAGCAAAGAATTTACCACACGTTGCCTCAGACTAGGGTTACTTGGTTGGTGGAGTGTCGAACTCAGAAACGAAAGGTACGTCAGGGTCGTTCGTCTTTCTTTACTTCGAGGTCGATAAGAGTACTACTCTGAAAATCATAGCTATTGTCAATCCTGCTTAAAAATGAAACACTCCTGACCAAAGACATGGAAACAGAGATCAGTGCCTCTACCATTAATTTCGCGAAAACAAAAGTGCAAGAATTTTCGGCATCATCTCCGTGTAACGAAGACCGACATTCTGATGGTTATACGCTCTTCTTTTCCTTCCATCGTGATGGAAAGTTATCGTGATGGAAAGTTTGATTGTGTATACTTTCTGATGGTGGGATTAATCAGTACATTATAACGATTACTGCGGTGTACTTGCCCGAGAGTAAATAATTTCTTCTCTTTAACAGCACCAACTCACAACAACTGCCTAACATGCTCGGCATTCTGCAACGTCCATCTCTTCTCCAATGCTTTTATCCTCTACACCAACAACTACAGCCCTGAACTATCGCGACTGTTCTTGAATATGCGGATGACATTACCGTCGTTGCAACTGTCAGAAATCGCGAAGACCTCAAAGAATGTAAGAGCTCAGCTTTATCGACATAAAGAACTCACATGGATTTATGCTCCACCTCAGCAAGTGTGCGAGGTGTGTCTTTATTCCGTTAAACACGACCTAGTCAACATAGCTACAGAAGAAACTGATTTATTCCAGAAAGAAAAACGTGAAGTACCTCGATGTGGTCGTTTAATCACAGTTCAACGTGGTCTTATCACAATGCTGACGTCATTTACAAGGTGAGGAAAGCTAATCTCTACTTTTGCCTCTTACGCTTCTTGGAGCTGCCCTCATTCACGTGGAGATTTAAAAAGTCTTGCACAATGCCAGTTGTCACCTATGTTTCTCCAGTCTATTTTTAAGCCATAATAGGAGGTTGTTTCGTGCCCATGCTGCAAAGTATCAGGGCAATCGCAAGACCTGTAGGAGCGCAGTACGGTTTCGTGGCTAACCTTTGTGCACACGGCTTATGACAGCTCTATCTCCTTCAATGAACGAACATTGCAAGATATCTCCTACCATCAAACCGCTTCAAACAGAGTTAACAGCCTGCTGTCCTACAGGAGGAAACTTCATCGTCCCGACAGCAAGAGCTCAGCTGTGCAGACAATTAGCAGTGGCCCATTTAATTCATACCCTCATGCATCCTCCGAACC